CATTCAGGAAATGGACCAGGAATGCTAGGGAAATTGCTTTCTTCATCTCTGAGTTGGCCTTAGCATATATGTCCTCCTTGAAAACACCACCCATCATGCGAGTGTAACTGCAAGGAGTGAATTTGTGATCAGACCACATACTGTTTTATGTTGGAGAAGGTTTTTGTGAGGATTTTGGAGGGAGGGTCTCAAATTTTATCCACTTTGAAAGAAAACAAATAAACAAAAAAAAAGAAAAAAGAAAAAAAATGAAAAAAAAAAAAAAACATTGTTCCCTGGTAGACTACACAAGTAAGACATTCATCAGGCTCTGCATGTATGTCATGTGTATGACATACAAACACCATCTTGCATTGTCTGCTTGAACACAATATACTTCATAACCAGCAGATGCGAACATACAGCACTGGCAAAATTCCAGGTACACAGACTCATGCAAACAAGATGATAAATATACAGCTGATTTTGGTTGTCTTTGCTGTTGTTATTTATGGAGCAAACTTGAAGTGTGACAAAAGTTGATCAGAACAAATGGAAAAACATGGAGCCACATTTTCAAAGCTATTTTGTTGTTTTAATGAAGACCAGACTCTTTCCAGCCTCTGTTACTTTCGAAGATTGCATTCAGTATTTCTGCCCCAGTGAGCTGATTTTTGGTGTGAAATAAGGGTATCACATGATAAGTTAGTCTGATATATGACTGCACTAAGGTGACAGAAAATTACAGAAATCAAATTGTCCATCCTTTTACTAGAGGCATGCCTATTTTCTTACAATTAGAAAAAACCTACAGTGGTCTCATTCTCAGTGAATGATTCACACCCTGGCCTACAGAAACTACTTTGCAAGCCTTATAAGCAGCAGCTTTTTGCAACAGCAATTCCCTATTGCAGCACCCATACTGAACTCAGTCATGTAATGTGACTGAGTTGTCCTGAGGGCGTGTTCCACAGGCATCAGCGTGCACCTGTGCCTGACCTACACTCTTCTGTGCCTCATCATCTCTTCAGGGTAGTTTCTTATGAGCCCTGTGGAAAGGTCGACTCCAGAAGGATTTTAAATAGAATCATGGCTGTTGTCATTATTGCTTGCCTGACTTATTAAAAACAAAACAAAACAAAACAAAACAAAACAAAATAATTAATAAAACAAAAATAGCACACACACATGCCAAAACACCTTCCAGGGAGGCTGGAATACCTGTCCATGTTACAAAGAATGTGTTATGCAACTGAGTGAACTGTTACAGGATGGAGACAAGGATTCACAATTTTCACTTTATCATTAGGTTAGAGGCAAATCACATTCACCATTAACACTTACAAAGCATCTAAGTGCTGATTTTGGAATTCCAGCTGGGACAGGGATACTTAGATGTATAGCACTATAACAGCTAAGAGCGTGGGGGGTTATCAAGCACTGTCTGGTATCCCCACATCTGACAAGCTGTCATTGTATAAACATCAGGGCAAGGAACATGTCTGCTTCTCTTGACTCTGCAATGGTACAGTGACTGCTAGGTGGCTTAATTCTGTCATTGGCCTCAAGAAACACCACAGCAACATTTATATGCTGTAAACATATGTGGTGGATTATTTTAGGTAGCTTGTTCAGTTGCCTTACACCAATTCTAAAAATAGTGCTCCAATTTTCCCTTGGCTGGGGTCACCTGGCCTCCACAAATGGCCACACAATAGGGCTGTCTGTTTCCACCAACAAAAATCCACTGTGTCTAAAGATGTGCTTCTGCACAGGCTCCAACTTGAATCTTGACACTGCTGAGGAGCCGAGCGTATTCCTTGCCATCCTATCTAGACTAAACGAGGCAGACCTCTTTCCCCTTACAGGTGCTGGCCATGACATTGGACCACATACCAAATATCATCAGAGAACAATGATGGCAATCTCACTTTTTCTTCAATTCAATATGTCTAGAGTATGTAATAGGGTCCTCTTCCAGATGGAGTTTTAGTCCTGTTATCTACAGAGTAATGTCCTGTTTACAAAGCTGAGACGGTCCTTCATTAGTCTTGCCTTTGGTAGGTCAGTATGTGCATGGCATTTTCACTGAACCAGCAGAAGAGAGTGCAAATTCAGGAGTGAAAGCAAAAAATGCAAAAATAAGTAACTTTCTAACATAGTAACATCTGGCACCAAGAGAAGAGAGGGATGGTTTAAGTCATAATCTCACTCTTTGAGTATGAAATATGATTTCACGAGTAGTGTTCCTCAGGGGTTGGTACTGGGACTCTGGTGCCATTTCACATCTTTGCTGGTGATGTGAACAGTGGGATTGAGTGCACCCTCAGCAAGTTTGCCGGTGACATCAAGCTGTGTGGTGCGGTCGACACACTGGAGGGAAGAGATGCCATCCAGAGGGACCTGGACAGGCTTCAGAGTTAGGCCTGTGCAAACCTCTTGAAGTTTTACGAGGCCAAGAGCAAGGTCCTGCATGTAGATTGCAGCAATCCCAAGCACAAATGCAGGCTGGGTAGAGAATGGATTGAGAACAGCCCTGAGAAGGACCTGGGAGTGCTGGTTGGTAAGAACATCAACATGAGCCAGCAGTGTGTGCTTGCAGCCCAGAAAGCCAACTGCATTCTGGGCTGCATTAAAAGCAGTGTTGCAAGCGGGTCAAGGGAGGTGATTGTCCCCCTCTGCTCTGCTCTTGTGAGACTTCACCTCCAGTCCTGCATTCAGCTCCGGGGCCCCCAGCACATGAAGGACATGGAAGTATTAGAGCAAGTCCAGAGGAAGGTCACAGGGATGTTCAGAGGGCTGGAGCACCACTCCTATGAAGACAGGCTGAGGGAGTTGGGGTTGTTCACCGTGGAAAAGAGAAGGCTCTGGGGAGACCTCATTGCAGCCTTCCAGTACCTAAGGGGGGCCTACAGAAAAGCTGGGGTGTGACTCTTTCTCAGGGAGTGTAGTGATAGGACAAAAGGCAATGGTTTTAAACTAAAAGAGGGTAAAGTTAGATTAGATGTAAGGAAGAATCCTTCACACAGAGGGTGGTGAGGCACTGGCAAAGGCAACAGTTACCCAGAGAAGCTGTGGAAGCCCCATCCCTGGAGGTGTTCAAGGCCAGGCTGGATGGGGCTTTGAGCAACCTGGTCTGGTGGGAGGTGTCCCTGACCATGGCAGGGGGTTGAAATTAGGTGATCTTTAAGGTCCTTTCCAACTCAAACCATTCTATGATTCCGTGATTCTATGATTTATTTTCGTAATTTCAGCATTTGTTAGAACTTCACATTTCCAGATTTTTACCCTAGCCATTAGGCAGAAGTTCACATTCGTTGTCATACATCGGCCTATTTAAGCTGTACAGTTACCACTGAGAATACCACCTCTCAGAAAGCTTTATTACCTACCAGTTAGGATATCGCAGTTGTCAGGATACAGGTTCAAATTTGAATCTCTGAGGCTTGTACGTTTTGTTTTTTAATGTTGGAAATGCCATAACATGTAGTCCTTATGCAGAGAGTAGGGTTGCCATCTCTGAGTGCAAGTTCTGTCATGCACAATTCCAGGAAAACGGGAAGTTAGTGTTTGTGACAGCAAAAAATGCACTTTGCTGCAGTTTCAGCAAAATTGCTGAAATAAGTGGGTCATAAGCCCATATGTCTCCATACATACATACTCCAAAGCTGTATGGACACAGGTCTGGGAAACCTGCTCTAGGTGACCCTGCTTAAACAGGGGGGTTGGACCAGATGACCTCCAAATGTCTCTTCCAACCTCAACCTTAATGTGATTCTGTAATTTTGTGATTCTGTTTCCTATCAGCTTGCTTCAGCAGCTTTAAAACAGAATGTGTTGGATCTGAAACTCTAATTTTTAGAGGTGTAACGTCCCCTGCATTTTTAAGGGACACGAGTATAGTACTCAAAAATCTGGGTGACAGTCAGAAAGGTATTCAAACCACCGAACACAAAAAATTTCAATTACTCAACATAGCTGTGCTTGGAAGAGACAAGTACCTCCAGAGCTACATTCAGAAAAGCTGATCATAGAAAAAATGACCTATTGAGAAGAGAGATTTTGTTTCTCTGGTGTGTTTTTTTCTTTTTGTTTGTTTTTTTTTGAGGGGAGGTGGGGTGGGATTGGTTGTTGTTGTTTTTAAATAGGAAAGCATTTCAAGGAGGGAAATTTGGCAGAATTTTCTGAAGCTTTTTGGATGCACTCTGAGAAGGCTTCATTCCCATCTCAATTCCTTACGATCATAGCTGCTTGGAGACCTTGCCTTTCCATCTGATACCTTATAAATTATAAAGTTATCCCTGATGTGGTAGGAAGCTCATCAACAAATTGTCTTAGAAACTAGTAACAGAATCCAGTCAGATTAGAGTTTTGAAGATGCCTTCTTTCACAATGGCCAGAAGCCTGAAAAGGAGAATAGCCTCTTACAGTATTGCTCGGATCCTATGTATTTAGACCAGATTTACATTTAGGTATTTGTTGCATACATATTCATGACATCAAAAGAACTCAGCTGATACATCAATGGAAGTTATTGGAAGCTTTTGTCTTACTCAGCAGTTTTCCTGTTGAAAATTCTTCTGTTGAAATCATTCACATACAGTACTGTGAGGCTAAAAAGCAAACTCTGGGGATGCAGTCTTGAAACAATTTGGTTTTGTTAGAGAAAAGTATTGTGTTGATGTTCTGCATAAATATATGACTCTTTGTTTTGTTGCTGTCACATAAGGGCAGCAACATTTATGCAACCAGTTAGGGAGAAGCCCGTTCTGCAGTATGATTTTGCTCATAATTCTTTTGAGAGGATCTTTTACTATGTGGTCAACTTCAATATAAGTTTGTAGTGGTGGCTCAAAACTACTACTTCCTTCTGCTGTCTACCAGACAGCTACTTAGAGAAAATGTCCTAACATCCAGTATCATTGAAACTCATTCTTGATATACTATATGTTTATTAATTATGTTTAATATGCAATGGTGTGAACAGATTAGTAACTCCTTTTCTGAATTAAAATAACAGATTGGAAGCAAAAATATAAGTATAGATTTATTAGAGAAGTTATCTAAAATACATTATTATTTCCCTCTTTAAATTAGAGCATATATTATTTCAATGAAAAGATACTTTGTATTCTATGGTAATAACAATTTTTAAAGATAATACTTAATTTAGGACATTTTTAATTAAAAAATTCAACATACTACCATTAAGACATAATGTTGATAGCATGGGTAAAAATGTAAAACGGTCTTAAAAATATTTACATGTCAGTTGCTTAAAATCTAAATCTAGTTCTCAATATTCATTTTACTTTTCTTCCTCAATATACTTTTTTTTCCTAAAACATACCTATGTTCTGTATTCCTGTGCTTTTGACAAAGCTTCAAGTTATCATTAGTTATGTGTACTACCACACCTGTGGATGAGGTTTCTTAGAATGGCTTATTTTTCTATCACCATATGCTCTCCCAAACAGCCAATGTATTGTAATATCAAAGTTTTCAGTCACAGTAACTCATCAAAATGCACACAGTCCACCCCCAGGCTTCCCACAGCCCCACACATAAAGAACCTATTCCTGTTTGGCCAAGAACCTTTCATATTTCATTAGCTGGCATTTTAGATGCAGAGAGAAAGAAAGAATGGACCTGGGAGACAAGATGTTGCCAGGGCACACATGGCAAAGGTTTGATTTGTGCTTAGCAAAAAAGGTTCCTCACAAACACAGCAATTCCTAACACACTGAGCGCTGAAGTTACTGGAAGGAAGCTCTGACTTCTCTGCTCTTCAAGGGCTGACATGGGCGCCAGTTGTCCACCATGTGGCACACGGGCTCATTCTCAGCATTGAAGCAAAGGCCACGGAGTTTGCACATCTGTGGAAAAAGGCACAAACATTCTCAAATGCATACTTCTTTCAACAGGACTACCTGAACTATACACCATGGGCCTGAGCCAGAGGTCCAATTCAAAGTTTCATTATCCATAATGGTCTAGAGTTGACATCTTTGCATGTCATCCACACTATTTCCTGCCTGACACAGGCTCTCCTGTCAACAGAATATCCTAAAAAGAACTAAGGTGGTGCAGAAAACAAAGACCTAGGGCACATGTTTTCAGAACTCTGTGCACAAAGAGCTGTTTGTCCTTGGTCTACATCTGAATTGAAACCATTTCATAGCCCTTTGAAAGTTGTACTGTTTCAGCTCTTTTGAAAGTTGAATTGCTTTGTCTGCTTGATATTTAAAAACAAACAAAAAAACCTTATCCTTAGGTACAAATTAGAACAACCAAATTCATTCAAGATATCTTGATTTTCAAATACTGTGAGAAGGGAAACTATTCCACATCAACAGGAGCAAACTGCAATGTCTTAGAGTAAGGTGCTTGTGCTAAACTGAAATTGGTGTTTGCATAGTGCAACGTAATAAAAGCACCTTGATGTCTAAGCAACCATATCCAAAACTACTTAAAAGACTGTCAAAATAAGAACCTGCCCCAAATGTAATCTCACAAGCCAACTGGAACTGCTGACAGAAACATGTAGGAGAGATTTTGTATGAGTCAGACTCCAAATCAGGCTTTCCTTTATTGAGCAGACCCCAGGCAGTGACCAGCCCAGGAGGCCTTTACTTTCAGGACCTAACAGGAATGAAGTTCAGAACTCAGCATCTACCAGGAACCATCACTGCAGCAAATGATAATGGACTCATGTGTACACTTGTGTACTTTGCTTTATGGTTTCTTGTTTTGATCAGTTTTGTAATGAAAAGGCAAGCTGCCACACGCACTGTTTTGATCTCAAATTCATCTTTGAAATGTCGATTGTAATATGGAGGGGTCTGTGTGGGAGAAACAAGTGGTGTCGTTTACCACTTGTAGGTGGTGGAAGTAGGTGTAGTAGGAAAAACAACTTTATTTTGGTGTATGTGCTCCTGCCCTATAATAAAACCATATTTGCAAGCCTTGGATCATCAATATCAATAGTTTAAAATAATCAAACAGTGTTAACTTAAAAGTTGCAGTTTATTAATAGTAACCATTGCTACAATTACTATTTCCAATAGTTCCTCCTTGTTGTGTATTCTATCTTTTATCATGTTATATCCCAACAGATCAGTTGCAGTTTTTTCACGTCAGCTAAATAAAACTCCTAGAATTATGTGTATAGTTTTAGCATGGGTGCCATTCATAAAAGGGATTTAAAAGTTTGAAGGGTAAACTAAAGCCCTTCGGGGCTAGCTTATATTTATAGGCTCCAGATTCTATTTATATCTTCCAAGCACACAGATGCAAACCCGAGGATAGAATCTTGCCTCTATGTAATTTCATTAATGGATGGTGCAGAAAGCTAGGGCCAGGAGTGATTTAATCTGCATAAGCTCTTTCCCACTAGGAAGGTTCTATCCTCTTCAAGCTGCACAACAGAAAATGGGATTTTTTCAGACAGCAGGCTTTGGAATCTGCAATTTTTCTCTCTTCCAAACAAGGCAGTTTTGTTAGGATTGTCACAATTCTGCGTGGGATTTCCCAGTCTGTTCTGTGATGAATAGTCCTTTTAAAATCAGTTTTGTGTATCCTGGAATTGCTGGAAGATCTCAAAGATCTACAGACTAACTACAGATCTACAGTGTGTGACTGCAAATGCAGAAGAAATGCTCTTCAGATGCTTGGTAAACCCAGTATTTTCAGGGCAAGTACAATCAAATAGGTAACTGCGTGTGCAGCAAACTTGCTGATGCTCACAACACATGCTAGACTTACTCTGCATGTGTAACCAGTCCTCTCATGCATCCTACGCTTTTCCTAGATTTTTTTTTTTTTACCACATGACAGCTCCAACCTGATTAAATTTTTAAAACCCCTCACATTTTGCCTGGACTGTGTTCAAATGGAGGACAACCTTACATTTTACATCTTCCTCTAATTCCACACATAGTAGAGCTTGCCAGAAGAGCATAACCAGCTCAGATATATATTTTTGACATGTGATACTAGCTACTAGCCTGCATAGCTCTGCAGTAGCATAAACTGCCATTTCAAAGATCACTTGGACAGCTGAACCAAAGCAATCGATACGATACCAGTCAGTACACACCTATTGGCACAGTCCCCTGAAGACCTACCTGCTCAGGGCTGACAGTGATGGGCTCCTTCAGAACATGCCAGATCACACATTCAAGCAGTGGTGGAGTGGTCAGGGAGCCAGGGTATGTCCAATAGTCTCGACATGCAGGAAGTAGTCCAGTAGGGTCAAAGTTTGTGAAAGAAGCTTGCTTGCCCTACAATAAGGAAAGTAGGCAGGCTATTGTCAAGGGAGAGACAACATACTCCCACCAAGCTTGTCATTATAAAGTCTTCTACAGAAGCTACATGTTTGGAGGAAGGGAGAAATGGAGTTTAGCATACAGTGTTGAGTGCTTCTTACAGTACACTTGGAATTATGTACCAGGAGTCTGTACTTTGAGCACTATCTTTCTCATTTTTTAAAACTATCAAGACAGTTCAGTATCCCAAATGTTGAACTTAATGGCCTTTTCCTTTAGAGATATGATCTGTCCCTGCTTGAAGTAACAATGAGATTTCAGATACCATGAACACTGATGCTACTGGAAAAACAGAAACTGGGAAACCTGTTGGAGTGTCCACTAAAGTAAATGGCAACATCCATTTATGTCAAAGAGAGCCTGATAACTAAGATTTCAGTGTAGTCTCGTTCTGCCTTTCCTGTCCACATATCTCATTGGCAAAGGTCTTAACCCATTATGAAGGTACCTATTTACTCAATAAATACCTTTAGTTACTCATTACTTGCTCATTAAGATCACATATGTGCTTCACAGTAATTAAAATACAGAAAGGCTTTTTTTTTCCTGAGAGTTTTATCCTGATCAAAATTTGCATCTGGAAGGTGAATCCTACCCTATAGGTTTAAATATTGATGAAAAGACAGAAAATGGATTCATGGAAATAAAAAAAATGATCATGGTTTCTAGTATTATCTGTCCTTTATCATAACTTAGTTTGAATCTCTTTTGCATTTAGGATTACAGGAGCATCCATGCTGATGGCATGAAGGTTTATTTTACTCCCATATATGCAGTGGACTGGAAAAAAGTGAACTGATCCACTGGGAAGAAGCAAACTGATCCAGAAGTCCACTTTCTGGATCATACAATTGTGACTGGTGGTGTCCAAGACAGCATATATTACCTTGGTTTGAATGGAGTTCAGAGCATCAACAACTTTCTGTATTTCAGGTTTGGCGTTCCCTACCTGTAATAGAAACCATATGAAAAAAAATAACCATGCAGTCTCATGACACTTTTAGTTATCTGTTAGAATTCTCAAGGAAACATTTTGTAGCACATTTTCATAGCACCATTTCATTACATAACAGAGTATTATAGCAAAAGTGACTGGAACTGTCTCTGTAAAATCATTCCAGTTGACAGGCAGCACAAATGGGTCAGCCAAGGACACTGGACAGAATAAGTTATTTTCTTTTACAGTATGTGGTCTATTTTTGGACTTGAGCTGTTCTTTTTTCACATAAGTCACCCTCGTAATAGAAGAGTGAAGCCAGGACAGAGTGCACACTGCTGGGTCACAATCACCTTCTTCAATTAGCTATGAAGACAATTCAGCTGAGTAAAAATGCTCTGGATGTTTAACAATAGCAGTGAAAAGAAAATAGATGCTATTTAAGCTGGTCATACCGCAGATTCATACATATATTACTGAGTCAGTTATGCATATCATCTTTCTCTGACAGGGTTATGGCAGTGTCACTGTCATGATGGAGGCTAGCATGCTGCTGGAGGGTTGCCACAGCTATGGATGGCAGTCATACTCCACTGTAGGTGTACAATTTTCATATGGACAGAAAACCAAGAATTTGGAGTACCATCTAGTCTGTTCTGGGCTTACATGGCATAGCATAATGCTGCCTTACTCTGTATTTTAGGCTCTTGGGCCCACCTGGACCAGTGAACATACTGGACTAATCCAAATAATAGGAAAAAAAAAGTCTAACTAACCTTCATGAAGATGCCCACTACAGCCAAACCATCCGGATGTTTCACAGCTTCAGCAAATTTTCCGTATTTTACATTCCAGTGAACAATATGAAGCTAGGAGCAAGAAAACAAGAAGCACTATGAAAATTAGATTCCATCCATAATACTTTACAAATGAGCATGCAGGGAAGTAATTTATTAAACATTAAGAGCAGATGGTGTTTTACTGCTGAGATTTAAAACTTTTGTGTACAGTTAAGAATTTGTTGAATCATTCATTAACTTTGAAGTTTCATTTATGCAAAGAGATTTCTGTCATACATTTTACTTTGCTTCTGACTTTTATTCCCAGATGAGTTTTAAATGCAAACTCTGGGCTGTATCTTTCTGCTTTTAGTCTGGTAAAATTCCTGTTATCTTCAGAATTAGTTTTTCCTGCATGCAGCCTGCAGGATTTTGATATCGTACTTTCGATGTAGCTATGTATTCTGGACTTCTTATCAAAGACATGATTGTCCGGTGTCAGGACAGAATAGACATTAATTACAGATCTGACCTCCACTCTTGATTTTTTTTTTAAAATATCATCCTGCCCTGTCATGGAAAGTCTTTGAAAAGAGTATTAAAAGAATCTCAAGGTCATGTTAGCCAGGATGTTCTTTTCTTTTTTATTTCAACATTATTTCTAATTGAAGTACATCTGTCTGTCTCCCCATAACTGCAACTCAAGTTGAGCAAGTAGTAATGGTACTGTAAACAGATGTGAGGCAATGGTAAGATTTTTTTGGATAAGAATAAACCAACTCTTATCAAAAAGCAGCAAAGCTGATAAATTTGTAGAACCATTTCCTCTATCTATCAATGCAAATCACAGTTATGTTCAGTTCCTGGAGCAAGCAGCACTGTACCAAAATCTTTTATGGGAACTCCCACAGTTTCTTGCCCTTTGAAGGTTTGCAGAGCTGCTGCTACCACCATGCTCATTACACACAAAAGACTGGAAAGGCAAAGCATGTCCTACCTCTGCATCATATTTCACACCATCCACAGTGTGCTCAGACCCTTGGCCCTCGCAGGAACCCCAGTGAATGTGAAACTGCACCAGCCTGTAGACTCCATCCAGCGCTCCCCCTTGCAGCACTGCAAAGCAAAGGGACTCTGTTAGCATCTCCCATAACCTTTGCTGTCAGGTCTTACTTCAAAGAGGAAAATCCATCTCAAATCTTCCAAGTAAATTACAGTTTATTGATCTGCATGCTGCCATGCTACTCCAGATCATCTTCAATGGCACATTGCTGCAAAAAGCCAAAATCAGTAATAAACATGTAAAAACAGAAGTGACTTTATAGTGAGTTTCATCAGCAATTTAATAGGCATGCTAGTATTACAGGTGACGGGGGAAGAGCTAAGGATGTAACTTTTCTGTCACCAAAGAAAAAATCCAAGCAAAGGTCCAAAGACTAGCCATTGTAAATGCCCTACGTAGATTTATTTTATGAAAGCACAGATGAAGACCAAATCATCTTTTACTTACTAATGTCCTTGGTCCCTTTATTTTGGACTCTTTATCCATTTAGGCAAATCCTGCAAATCCTGTGGTGAATTGGATTGAATAAAAAGCTTTTGGCTCCAAATTAAACCCTCACACCTGTTAGCTGTGGGATACAGCAAGGTAAAGCACTGGGCACAGCGCAAGGAATTGCAGATGTGACTTTGAAATCTCTCGTCCATCCCATCTTTTACTCCTTGAGAGTGAGTTTAAAAAATGGTGCTGAGAATGGCAACACCTGCAGAGGCCAATTTTTTAAAATAGGGTTTGGAAATAAGGCATTAATGTATGCTCTCCATGATTTGTCATTATTCTTGCTATGTGACTGAGGTAAGTGGAGTGCCCAGCCACACATTCCATTATACAGGAGCAAGTTCCCCTGGGCACCCTTATTCTGCTTGTTAGTTTTAACCTTTACTTAAACTGTGACCAACCACCATTATGATATGCAGGATCGAGCCTCACTACTGCCAAATGCTCAAGGCACAGACAATGTCTCCTCCAGTGCAACGCAGAGCACAAAACAATAGTAAATAGTTCTGTTCAATAGAGCTATTTATCTAAGTTATTAGAGCAAGATCTCACACTGGTTTGTGTTTTTTTCTAAGTCTCAAATTCACGATTAAATCTTTGAGGAATTAATATTTTAAAAATCAAAAATATTTTTAAAACATCATTTGAAATGCTATATATCTTAAGAGATCAATTTCTCTTTCAATATAGAAAATAAATATATAAATAACAGAGTGACAGAAGAGTGTTGACATCGGTTATTACATTTAAGTGTGTTCTGTTTACGTGCCACAAACAAAATGGTTCTGTGGAGTAAAGATGCTTGCCTCTCAGTTTGCAATTAGTCTAGACATGTAAGTATCACACGTGCATGTGTGAAAATATACATCAAATGCAGATAGGGAAAGGTCACTGTCTGTTCAGGTTTGAATAATTCTGATTATATGCAAGCATGGACAAACATACCCGTGGCTACTTGGCAATGGGGGAGCTCAAAGTGGTGAGAAGGATTTGACTAAAAATCTGGAATACAGGAAAATTAAACATAAGATGTATGAAACACATTAGTTTCCACTTGTGTGCATTACACATGCAAAATTTGTTTCAGTGGACAAATTTAGCATTTGCCTGGGGCTCCGTCTTTGGCAAATACATTTAGAAGTCTGCCAACATGCATTTCTGTTTGAAAAATGTGAATATATGTTCCGATGCAGTCCTTGTAATTTCAGATACTGTAGCCAATGCTGAACAGCCAGCAGACCAAGAGTTACCCTACCTACCACCAAGCTACATGATACGAAGAGGAATGGCTACTTGAAGTAATTGAATAGGCACATATTTTATTCTACTTCTGTGTTTCTGCATGTGCTAATTGCCACAAAGCATAACTGATTCAGACACAGTACTACAAATCAGAACAGATGTTGGGTTTTAATAGTTTTTTTTGTTGTTGTTGTTTTTTGTTGTTTTTTTCAGAACAGCTACTGTGAATGTGTGTTAGTTCCACTTTGAAATGAAGCAATCAGTTGTTATGTCTTTACAGATGCAAAATCATTTAATCCACACAATATCATGTTTCATTAAAAGACAATGCCATGGGGTTTCAGTTTCAGTTCCTTTGGCTAATGGACTTGCGGCTTGTTGCAGATACAAATGGACCGAGGTTTCACCATTCCTGAACCTCAGAAAGCACTAGTGCAGCACAGGTTAATCTGCCATTATTAATCAATGGAAAGCATGCTGAAGAGCAGAACCATGCAACTGTCTTAAATCCATTTGCAGTGTTATTTCTACATAAAGTTTGCTATAGTTCCATAAAACTCAAAAGATGCAAAAAAATCTCGTTGTGGTTTTTGCTTACTTTTCTCATTCTGTGGTTCTCAAATCCAGCACTAGCTTATTTTGACTCACAGCAGAGCATTCAAAGAAAGTAATAATTAGATTAGTGGGAATGAATACAAATTCATCAGGCTTAATTACACAACAGCTCTTCTTGTTCTATCCTCCATTAAACAGTTATTATTTTTCCTTAATATTCTCCAGCCTTTCCAAGGAAGCAAAATTTAAACTTAAAATGTGAAGCAGAAATGTTGGAACTTCATTTTTTTCTAGTGCAAGTGTTTTTAACCATGAATAAATGTTACCAGCTTTTGGAAAGCAAAACCTCAAGAACCTGAGCAGCATCTGGGAACTTTCCTATCCCTATCTCATGTGACATTAACATTGATTCAGGCCCCACTGAAGACAGATGTATAACCTTTCCATCTCCTTTTTTGTAGGATGGGAAAAGCTTGTTCCACAGTTGAGCCCCTGAGCATTAGCTTTTTCCTTTTGAAATCAGTACTACTCAAAACCATCCTGGAAATACACATGCAGCTATGCTCTCTTTTGTTATACAGCATAGCTTCAGATGCAGAGTGAAGACAGCACCAGATGACCTGGAAAGCACATTCTTTTCTTAAAGCTTCATCATGCTCAACAAAATCTACATCAGTAACCTGGTTTCCACAGACATAATAGCAATATAAGAGGTAACAGCTTGAAAATGCAGCTTTTCTTCTATTTGACAGTTATTTGAAATGGTGCAGTGACATAAATTCGGAGCCAGTTTGCTTAGATTAAGAAATAGTAACTACGATTTCAACCTTCTACCATTTACTGAAGAAATTATACTAGTAACATCCAGCAATTATATTGCACTCTTATTAAATGATCTCATAACATTATCTAAATTAGGTGAAAATAAGTATTAGCAGAGCTAATTTGGGAAGTTAAACAACCACATGAACTGTGCTATTAGTGTCTGTGGGGTTTCTTGGATAAAGATGAACTACGTCTGTCTCCATTACATGATTATAGGATATTGGAAATGCACAGAAATCAAGGGGGCATTGTGTTGCACCTGGGGCAGCTGTTTACTAAGGCCACACAATTTCTCTGTTGTGCTTAAAGGTGAGACACAGGGTAGTTACCTTTTCCATGTGGAACAGGATGACTTTGTAAAAATATACTGTGAACAGCTTCTCTCTCTTTTTTTTTTCCCCTCCAGGAAGTGGCAGCAGCCACGCGTTAAGTTTTGCAGGAATACTGTGGAATTACTGTTGCTGTAGTTACCTCCCTGTATAGGGATGTAACAGAACAGGAGACTCATAAATCTCATTAAGGCAATAAACTTGTCAAAGAGGTAATATAAATGGCTGAACTCAAGATTGTTTCATGAGTCAGAATGAATTCCCTCCCACTGTATGGTTTAGTGTAATAAGAAAAAATGCTACCCTGAAGTTTGTCATTCGGAGAAAATACAGAATGAGAAAATGTTCTTCACATGGAAATCATTGACAATAAAATTTCTTCCACTAAAGCATGATGGATGTGGATGTGTTAAGTTAAGCTTAACTTAAGAAGTTAAGCTCTAACTGAGATACCACGAAACAAGAACATAGCAGCAGGACAGTTACAACATCTACCTTTGAGGACAACCCACTTATAAACACACTGCTTTGGTATAAAGAAAGCCATGACTTTGTACCAGCCTACAGTAGATGTGCACATGTATGCATATGCTCATATAAATTAATGCACAGCACATACATTAATGTTAATGTTCTGTAGGCATTTGTGTATATGCAGACATCTCTGTGCTAGAAAATCTCTTTGCTAGACCCTGCAGAGATAGAGTAGAAGCAGCACTACTTGAGAAAAAAATAATCTTGAGCACCATGCACTATTAATGGCACAAAAAAGGCTCTTAGGAGGATGCTCAGGGATTAGCCTTGTGCTCTTATGCAAGGATGGGCTTCCCCATCTGACAGACTGGAGAGTTCAGTTGGGGTGAGCTGTCACTTCTATGAAACGTGGAGTGTAGAACATCACATTTTGTGAGATGTTTCCTTCTTTACGTTATCTCTTTCACACAGTCCTCCTAGGACACTATATCATGGCAAGCAGGAGAGTAAGACAGGACATAACTGTAGGGATCATACTTGCAGATACATCTGTAATACGCTTCACCCAGAGAAAACCTACGTAATCGGTATCGCCTAAGAAAAACCCTGCTCTGACCTTGCTAGAGGGTTAGTCTGATAAGGCAGAGAGGATGTTCCAAAGAGATAGACCAGAATGAAACATCTGCCAAAACGTAGCAGGTCTGCATACGTGTGTATCAGCAGCTGCTCAGTGATTTCGATTCACCCCAGCTGAACTACTTCATACAGGCTGGGTAGCAGCCAGACAGACTGACCTGCTTAAGCATCCAACGGCAATTATGTTCTTGTCTTTCCTCCTCAGCCCTTCAGGTCTTTCAAAAAGGCCCCTTGTATGCATGATTCAAAGAGATAGATATGTGGGAAAGTCTGTGGCACATTTAAGTGTAAATGTGTTTGTGTGCACCCAAATGTTTGTGCATACATACCTACATAAATGTAAATGTCCACTTACTACTTATAGTGAATTAAGGAGTAGTGGCAAGACAAGTTGCTATTTGTGCATTTACAGATGCAGCTTGTGAATATCAAACATGACATAAAAATTAGATGGTATGTTAATAATCTGTTCACATAATATGATGTATTTATTGTTCCTAATATAGGAAGGGTACTATTCAGTATTCACTTCAGTTAACCACAGCGAAATCCACTGCTCCCAGGGACCAGTGGAATTTATTTCTGATATCATCTCATAAATGGAGATTTTTGTGTGAGTCATAAGGTGCTGTAATGAACCCTTGATCAGCATTCAGCCCTCACCTGTCACCCCTTATGAGCCGACAATGACTTCAAAAGTACTGAGTTGGAAGCATTAAGATTCTCTTACGAGTCACAATTGACTTAATTTCTGATGGCAGTGACTGTAACACTCTCAGAGGTTGCTTACAGTTTTGGAAGTTTTCTATTGACACAGTGCTCGCACTACTTTGGGGTGTAACAAAGGATGGGTGAACTCAAGGAAGGGGAGAGCACGGCCTCTATGCACTCAGCAGTCCCCCTTTACTCAGCTTCTAAGTTAACTGTTTTCTCCTGGTATTGCACATAAACACCTTTAGAGGAGTCATTTGGAAGAAGTGAAGGAAGTTGCCAAGATACCTATATGCACAAGCCATGTCAAATTCCTGCTCTAAAGCTTTTTTTTTTTTTTTAAATGGTCTAAGTCAAGAAGGGCACTTTTGAGCTCTGTAAAGAAATGAAGTCCTGAATCCAGCAGGGCTGACCTCAAGCCCTCTCATCTTCCTTTTCAGTTCCCTGAAGTGCCAGAGCTATACTCAAGTCACCTGCTTGCTTAGGCTTTGCAGCTTCTAGCAACAGCAGTTGAACAGAGAATGCCTTAATGATAACACACCTTCTGGGACCTCTGACTTCCTTGTCAAGCAATGCACAAAAATACTTACGACACATAAGCAGCTGTCTGAAAACAGTCCCCTAGAGCTATAAGTAATCAGTTCCCTGATTTATGATTCAGATGGGTTAGGACATTGCTTAGCCCACATTTTATTGTGGAGTTTCAACCTGTGGCCGTATACCAATAATGTGCAATATATTCTGGTGTGGATAATGTTACATCTTCAGAGCTGGGAAGCCTAAAAATAGACCAGTGGCAGTGACTTTGATTAAGAGTTCTGCCTTAAAGGAAGCAGACCTGAGTGTTTTTTGCTCAGTCTACCTGCTGTGGTGGAAGTGTAGGAAGAGAGTACCAGAGGCACAACTTTCAATGCACCTCACTGCCAACCAAGCTGTGCCACTGTACTGACTGTTGAACTCAAATACAACAAAATGGATTAATCTGCCTACAATGAGTCAAAATTCATGACAGCTGAAGTGTCCTCATTAATATTGCCCATTATAGGAAGAATTGGGTAATTGATTACAACCACTGAGAGTCCCTCTAGGGGTGACCTACCAAGGTCATAATTGTGAAGTTCCACCAGGACTGAATTTCTGTAAAAGCGTTACATTTACTTGGGACTCTGTCATGGATTTCAGTATTATCCATATCTAGCTCAGCAGCAAGGAAAAGGAAACAAGTAAGTGCTGTCCACATGTGAAAATGACTAGTGCATTTAGTAATGTCTTCAGAGGCTTACACCATAGTTGCAATGAACTTCTGACAGGTTCTACAACTAAGATATGGTATTTTAATATTTTTGTTACAGAATAACTTTTGATTGACTTCTTCCTTTCATAAGATCAAACACAAGATCAGAAAATACAGAATACCGAGCTTATTGCTGTGAGCATTTCCCACTTGTATGTCAGGTTTTAGGTGAATTGTGAGAAGTTTTCCACAGAACTTACTGAGAACAAGTTATATATACACGTTACACAAATGCTTTTATGCTCTTGAGGCTTTCTTGAGCAAAGTCACTTCCTGTGGTTTTACAGCTCTGAGAAGTTGCCGTTTGTTTCTTTTACGGTGAGTAAAGTGATACAGACTACCATATAAAGTAGTTAGTATCATTAAGTAGGTGCCCTGAATGAGACAGATCTCTCCTTTGCTATCAAGCTTTTAAAATAAGTTGCAATATTATAGTTCAGTGGTTATCAGCACCATTTGCTTGACACGTATGCCCATGGCCAAGTCCCAGAATACAGGAGTGGACAGGCCTAATTTGTACTTTTATTCCTAGCAACATATAGAATTTTTGCTTTTAATTAAAATTATAGAAGTTTTAATCACAAATGCCTGCAAATACTTTAATTTTCACACTTATTACAAGACATGAGAATTAAGAAAGCAACTGCAAGAGCAGAAGGAGAAGAGAAACTAAGTAACAACCAAAGGCAGAAGTTCATTCTTTTCTACATACAAGCCCAAAAACCGTTCCAAAACGCTGCACAGAAACACAATAGAAGACATTATTTTAACTAAGAGAAAATAATGGAATTTCAGTAAATAAAAAAGTTTAAAAACAGCAATACTGATTTGTCAGTTTATGTTCCGTACACCATTTCTATCAACTAGCAGCTGTGAAATATGAAGGGAATACACTTCAGGAACTGACTTAGGCTTTAGAACTGTATTCTGGAATATAACAGCTGTCACATAAGCCATGAAATTCAAAGGCTGTACTATAAGAACTGAAATAGAAGGTTGGTGTGTAATTGCTTAGGAATAGGGATTTTTTTAAAGCATGCTTAGTAACATCTAAGGGTATTTAAGAAAATTAACAAGAAAGTAGAACAAAGGTTCTAAAGCTATCACAATGATTTTAACATCATTTTATTTTTCAAATATCTTTGTAAAGGAAAGTTTTATAGGTCATAAGGATAGTTAACTTTAAACTGCATCAAGAGCTACATCTATAGAGCTCCACTTATTAGTAAAATTAGTAAAGATCTTCTAAAAGGGCAGAGAGGAACACATCTTCCATGAAGATACATTAGTTGCATAAATTACACATAATAATTTTGCATAAAAAAGTTGTTTGTTTTTTTACCTTTTAAACTTCCTATTTCTCATTGATACAAACAGAAGCTACAGGCTATACATACTTGTGTGTACATGTATGTAATATATATACAAGCTTTTTTTTTTTTTTGGGGGGGGGGGGGAATATTCTATACAGAAGTCTTGAATATTTTGGTATCTCCTTGACTTTAACTTGTGATCAACAGTATTCAAAGTAAGTATTTTCTAAATCAAAGAAATCAGTAACAACCATTTTCAAGGAGTTTTATCCAAACACATTTTAGCTGTCTTGCCTATGTTACTATACTATTATTACCTGTACTTCTTATAACAAGAACTAATTTTGCATACCCTGGAAGAGAAGTCTTCAAAAAGACATTAAATACACAGAACTGCTGTTCATTTTACTTTTGTGTCATTGGTTATGTGCCTGAATATTCTTAATGAATGGATCTACTTCTTTGCGTGCTATTACTCATGTGTTGAACATTATACACAAACAATGATCTTACTACTTCATTTTACGCCTACTATCACAGATAATTCCTTACAGCATACGGGACAGCTCATGGAAGCAAGCACTATAGCCTATCGGGAGTATTTACAGGATTTGGTCCCATTGCTTCCTGCAAGATATAACATCATATAATTT